ATTACCCTGGTTGTGAAAAACCTTCTCTGGCTACCTGTAAAGTACAGGATTATGTGTAAAGTCCTAGTTATTAACTTACAAGTCCTTAAATTGACTTGGGTTTGAATACCTCAGAGACATTCTGGAACCATACATCCCCAGTCGTTTCCTTTGGTCTCAGTCAATTGGATTAGTTCTTTTTGGCTGAAGACATTGAGCTACAGGGCATTTTTAGTGTTTGCTCGCTCCTCATGGAATTCATTAACCATGGAGGTCAGACTGGCTGACTCTTTAACATGCTCTAAATCTGAACTTAAGGTACATATTTTCAGATTGCTTATTAGGAAGTGTAGGAGTTATATGGTTCTCTCTATGAGGTTGCTATAGTCTTTTCACATAGGAACATAACCTTGAGTGCCAGTATTTGAGAGCCAGAATTAGTGTTGTCTCAGGGTTATTTTTGCTCTATGCACTGCAAGAAAAAAAAATCAATTTTTAGTATTGCAACTTTTCCCAATAACTTTGCAAGGATCTGCAGAGAAGACATGTGGCAGATGGAAACCCAATGCTTAGACAAGACATTCCTACTTTTAAAGCACAGTTGACAATATGATCTAGATCAATATTTCCAGGAAGCACAGCAGACAAAATAGGGAGCAACTGTCTTTTTAAGTTTTTTTTTTTTTTAAGTATTTCGTGCAAATATTATGAGCATTTGCTTTTAAGATATTTATAACTTTTCCTTTCTTCCTTTTCTCATCAGCACACACCCAGAGAAGCTTCCTTGGTTTTAGCTGGTCTGCACCACAGTAAATGAGCACTGAATTCAGCCATTAGATCAAATTAAGCTCTGATCTAAATAATTAATAAGACTAGATCAGATAATATTTTTACTGTAATAACAGGCATTGTTATGAATGCCTGTGTGGTGTGATGATACTTTCATTCCACTGCAGGTGGACACATTCCAAATTATAAAAGCAGAACAAACTTGAAAGGTTGACTAACAAGAGTCTAACGGGATTTGATTTGACCCTTCCCCTGTGTCCCAGGGATAAATCAGCTGCTATAGAGAGGATGATGCAATCAAAAGAGGGAGGCATGGATGCAGTTAATCCAGGAACGTGCTCCCTATATTGGTACAGCACGTATAAAGAACAATTCCCTATCAGCAGTGTATGAATAACTGTGTCTAGAGCTTGCATGCCAACAGTTATGTGTAGATGTCATCACTTTAAAAAATAAAAGCTGTTTCTATAGACATGCAAGACAGATTGGTGAATTTGCCTGGTTTAAATTAGGCTGAGTGGTTCATGATGGTGCAAGGAGAGGAAAGATATTTTAATAAAACCAGCCAAATCAAACCTTCCCTGCCCAATCGACTTCTCACAGAACAGGTTGACAGGGTATTAAAAGCTGTTCCATTGCATTCTGCCTGTGGAAAGGGTGCCTGGCATCTAGATTTAATAGAGCCCTAAATAGCTATAGATAATTTATTCTAGTTATAGCTTTAAGTTCTGTTTTTCAGAGAATATGAGTCTTACAAAAATGGTTTCCATGCAAATCAAAACCAGCTGAAAGCTTGCCAAGGCCAAGATGTAATTTAAGATGGCATTTAAGCTGCTCTGTCTTTTCTGTCTCTAGAGATATCATCATAAAATAAAAGAATTCATCAGGTAATGTTTTCTTCATTATTCAACTGCACAATTCTGAAGTGAAAAAGATAATTAGACATACAGGGCTGTCGACACATAGTTTATTAGGAGATTCTGATTAATTAGCTATGGTAAAAGGGTTTTATATAGTCATAATTAATTTATATTTCAAGAAAAAAGGCAAACAGACAGTACACAGATTTTAATATTTCTTTCCTCTGACAAATTTATCAAAGTAATTCTGAAGTTCTGTTGAACCTACTGCACTTCACTGTTGCTTTATAAAGTGGAAACAGACATCTAACAGCACAACTAATTCTGGCTTCCCTGGGAGTCATCTTAACACCCTCACATCAGTTTGAAAAATTCATTTTTTTCTCTGCTGAACCAGCAAGTGAAACAACTGTGAACTGCTCACCAAGACACACCCTGGTCTGAAATACATAGAATAAGCAATGCAAAATCTGGATGTAACACACAAATTGCCTTCTAAATTCTCGTATTTCCTTCTGCCCAACTGACCTGATCTACAGTAGGACTGAGGTCAAAAGCTGATTATTCTGTGCTTCCTTTACTTTTGCATGTTGTGTATTATCTAACAGAGCTGGACATATTCTCTCCAGGCATTGTCATGTTGTCTCCAGACTTGTGCTCACACTCAAACCCAACCTCCCCCCACAGACCTCACAGAGGACACACTTTGATTTAGGCTTTGGTCAGCACAGGAATGAGCCAACTCCTGCAGCAGGAGAAGGGAAGGATGAGACAAACTCAAGCAAAATCAAGCACAAAGAAGAAATGGAACTTGTTCAAACCATTTGGTACAGAAAAAAAACCCTCACTGATCTTTGAGATGATTTTTGAACTGCACCATTGTGTATTCAGGTTTATTAGCCATAGCACTTCTGTTCTGGGATATAAAGTTCCATTTTTTGTGAAACAAACCCATTATGAATTCCTGTTTGGATGTGAGGCTGGATGTAAAAGCACACATTCAATCACCAGAGACTGATCAGGGTTTGCAGGTCACTTATTCTGAGAGAGACTTAGTGGTAAAGTCTTCTCTTGGGGCCTTCATCAACAACCACTGGAGACAGCAGGAATCTCTCCAATATAATTTGGTTTAATCTTTTAAAAATGCTCAGGTGGCACTTCAGCTATGGGCAGAAAAAGAAGGACCGACAAAACCCCGTTTCTTCTCTTGTTTCAGTAAAAACCTTAGTGACAAAAAGTAGCTGAAAACTAAAGTGCAAGATTCCAGGTAATGTCCATTCCGTTTCTGGTTAAGCTTATTTAATGCAGTGCATTACTCAGAACGATTTGGAGCTATAAAAAATGTTACAATAGTGAAGATTCCTGAATAAATAATTCTCAATTAAGTGTTAGCACCTAATTATATTAACTTATAGTAATTACTGATTCAATTATGAAATTGAAGATTAACCTGAAAATGCAGGCTAGCTAATTTATTTTTATGATAGTTATACACCAATAGCACATGTAGTTGGGCTTCTCTAGGCACAAGCAAGGTAAGGGTTATTTTAACACTCTTTTAGATTGTCCTGCCACACTTGAAGAATATCTGACTGGAATACACACTGAATTGTGTCTGACACAGTGTTCTATTTGTTGTTCTATAGTCTCATGTATCTTGCACAGAAATAAGGGAAGAAATAGGCCTTGTTATTTATCATCTCTGTTTATGGTTGGGGGTTTTTTCAGTCAAAATTTGCATGGGACATTTTTTGTCTTATACTTACTTTTATAGTAAGTATAAGAAGAAAACATATTTCCTAATGCACTTGTGTTTGAGTTTTGTCTTGGGAACAAGAGAGTTTGAGAATGCTTTATGGTTCAAATTTGGATAGAGGGGAGAATGGGGTCAATTGTCACTCTAAATGACATCAGTTAAGTATTTAAGGAAAGCTTTTGATGTTCAGAACAGTGAGGAGTAAGATGAAGATGACAGAGTAAAGCTTCCTTTGGGTCTGAGAAGATGGACTAGATGAACTCCTTAAGCTCCTTCCAGATTGCAGATTTTATAGAAGTGTGTAAAATAAGACTTTTGGTGTTTTGATCTCTCATGTAATCTCATGATCACGTTTTCTTTCCACATTGTGTGACTAAGCAAAGAGTTTTACCACATATTTGTACTTTAAAATCACACCACTGAAAAAAAAAAATAGCAGCGTGCCTTGGAATCCTAAACAGGTGATTTCTCCCAATCCCAATTTTCAGTGACGATTTACTTATTGTGCTGGTTACAATAAACACCATGATTCTCAACTAGAGAGCTAACAAGCTGTATTTGTGAGTGGTGCATGGGAGAGGTAACAAAGCAGCAAAGATTACTTCACGTGTACAGATTATGTATTATTTGTTAGTGTGTCACTTCCAGTGCTCTTTCTTTTCCAAGTGAGAGTATAAAAAAACCTGTGATTAGCTCTGACGCTTTATGTGTTAGCTTTTACCCAGATAAATGTCAGATTTAGATAATCCTATAGGATCTGTGCTTCAAACACTCAGAAACATGACTCTGGAAGTTTAAGAAAATACATACATACATATTATTGAGATTAGTGCAGCAAACAGCACAGTCCTGCAATAATAATGGATGGGGCAGATTGAGTTTATCAACCATCTCCAAACATTTCCTATGTGAATTAGTGGAAACCAAGCATATGGGAAAGGGGAGTGGATTATTCAGTAAAGATGACTAATAAATATATCATTTCTCCCTAATCCATCTCTGTCCTAGCATGTTTTTTAAAATTTCAATCTCAAGTATATTTGTAACTTTCATGAAGATAAAATATAGTATATATGGCTTCCAAAAGTGACTGCTGTGGAAAATTTTTTTTATTCCAGTTCTTGGGCTTTTTCACAGGTAATTGGGTTTTCCCCTACCATTTCTTTTTGCTTATACATTTCCCATTTTAAATACCAAATATCTATAGGGCACTCAATTAAAAAAACATCATTATGAACACCAATGCTGTAAAATCAAAACATTTTTTTATTGTAAGAGGAGTTTCTAAAACTGATCAACTTTTTGGTCCATCACAAACTAAATATCTGTTAATTGTCTGCCAGCCCTACCAAGTATCATATTTATTAGGCATGCCATTCTTGGGAAGTGAACACTGCAGGGAAATGTTGTAACTAATCCTCAGGCATTCAAATCTTTTTCCAAAATTATTTTTGCTTTTGAATTTTGTCTTTTAAAACACAAAGTCGAGTGCACTATGACACTACTTCAAAGAAAGAATTTCTCTCTTGCAGAGCATGCAGGGACACAAATAATTTTAAGTGGATACTTACTGAGAGTTCTGCTGTATACCCAGATCTCACTTTTTTGTCACTTACCATGTTGCTATACAAGAAAGTGGAAACTTTCATTCCCCAGCAATCTGTGCTTTTGACTTGTTTTCCTCATCGGGTTGTCAAACTGCAAAAACATAAAGAATGTAAAGTCAATTTAAAAAAAGAAGTAAAAATTTTTGTAAAACCCCATTTGTGTTTTGAAGAAAGTCCAATTGTTTCACCTTTATACATAAACCTGTCACTACCCAACACAATGGAGGTAAGTGATATAGGAGCTCACTGTCTCTTTTCACTTCATGACTCAGGTACCAAATGTTTCAATTACTTCCAGTACACACTATATTATCTACATTGTCATAAACTAAATATTTTAAGAGTTCTTTACTGTTAAGAAGTTGGCAAATTGAAGGCATGGAGGTATCAAAGGAGAGGCAATCAAGCTTTGCAATACAAAACAGAATTTGTCACTGGATGTGTAGAAGGAGAAGTGTGAACAGCAAGGTTAACCCTGTACTCAAGTCTTCCCTTTCCCATTGTTGTTAAAATCTATTTCTTGCTGATGCTGAACTCACAAATGCAAAAATTACCCACCTGTCTGCCCACTCCACACAGCTGCAGAGACCTGGCTGCTGATCCAACCAGCTGCAAAATGCAGCAGCCAGTTAATGAAGGAATTCAAAGCACTCTTAGAAAAGGATGTTTAATTTGCCAAGTGTTGCCTGCAACTCCAAAGAGGCATCTATTCTTTGGAACTCTTGGTTAACAGCATTGGATTCACTTTGGGAACCTCAATGGGCAGGCCAGGCAGCTTTAGTATTTCTGAGTTGCATCAAGGGCCTGATACAAACCAGCCTGGTTTTGATTCCTACACCAAAACAGACTGACTAGAAAAACCAACCTCACTGGTACCTACACCTGCAAACCTTAAAAAAAAATCCACTCAGAAATCCACATCAGACAGACTTCTGCTGTTTACACACAGTTCACTATTTTCATAGAAAATATGGGACTGGGGCTTCCTGACACTTTGAGACACGTGAAACTAAAGAATTTGGAGTGGGAACACTAAATTGAGAATTTAGAGTACTCAGCGCTGATGTAATTGGGCCCTCATCAAAACATTGATTTCCCCAGCAAAAAAAAAGAAACAGAGAAATGCTGTGCAGTTTTGAAGGGAAAAAAAAGGATGAAGAAAATATATTGGGTACTTACAACACAAATGATGGGCTGTTAAGAGATAAGGGATGGTATAGATGATGCCTCCATCTTTTAAATTACATCCTTCTCTTGGAAACAAGCTCTGTGTAAACTGCAAATAGGCAAGACAACACTTAATGAGAAAAGAATAGGATTCTGTTTATTCTAAGTTGCACATCTAATTTTTTAACAATGTTACAAACCCAAAGCTTTTGGAAAATTACTATTGAAAAATGAGGTATAATAAAACTATAGTTAAAATGTGCTAAATTATGATGATCTGCCTGACACTTTCATGTAGAAGCAAGAAGAAATATTTTCCAAAATGCACGTTGATTTACCCCCATTAATTCCTTTTTTTTAAAACAAATAATCCATCCTGAAGTGTTTGTTTCCAATCTAAAGGCCATTTAAGATATCGAAAGTGCAGTCACTTAACAGTGTGTGTTCAGCAGACTCTTTCATCCCCCCAAATATACACACACCAATTACCTTTCCTTTTGCACTGACTCTGCTATCCCAAAGCATCCCGATGTACTTTGCAAATATAATTAACAATATGGCCTGTCAATGTCCACTGTTGACATGAAACTGCTGGTTCTGAAACCATCAGCACTTGGCAACACTGTGTAAATGTTTAAACCAAAAGTGAAGAATTGCTTATCAGTCCAGGGGGCAAATATAACCACTGAACTTGGAATTTGATTGGGATTAAGCCCTGGGGTTTACAACCCTGCTCCTATTATTGCATTCCCATGGAACCTTGATGGTTAGCACCCTTTAGCTGTGCAATGGATAATAGTGCTTGACTGGGAGACTGCATCAGAAGGAAGGGTGCTACACCATGAATAAGCCTGGGTTTGGTTTGGTTTTGTTGGGCTTTTTTTAATGAAGAGGGTTCAAATATATTTTTCTAAAGTACCTCTTTGGTGTAGTGGGAAGGGCAGCACTTTTGGGGTAGGGGTAGGTAGGCTGGTTGCAGCAGCTACAGCATCTGGAAGCTGTTCACACTCTGTCCTTTCTGATGTCCCCCCTTTCAAGGGATTATCAGGCAGCAGCTCCAGGCAGTGCTCTGGGTATCAGCTGGCATATTCCTGACATGCTGCCTACACTCAAAGGAGTTGATTATTGTACAGGGAGTGACACATTGGAAGGATCTCAGGCTGGTTACTCAGGCTGTCCATCCAGCCTGGTGCCCTGGCAGCCCAACAAGGACTATCCCAGGACATATTAAAACACAGCACAAGGCAGTACAGCTGGAATACATAATGACTTTATGGTTCATGAATTGTGCTTTATGAAACAATAAATTGTGTTTACTTCCCCTGGTTATAAAAGAGGATGGGAGAATTCCTAGGGTGTTCCAAAAATGTAAAACAGGATCAGCAGTAAAAGATGTGGAAGCAGCAGCGTTTCCCTGAGAAGCAGCCAACTTAGAAGTGGAATATGGATTAGTGTCATCAGGAGCAGCAGCAAGAGCTGCACAGGCAGCCTGATGGGGCACTTTCTTTGCACATCATTCTGAGGCTCTACAGCTGAGCCACTCAGAAAATCACAGCTGAAAAATTTTGTCCAGAACTATCAAGCAGATTTGCACCTTCTCTACACTCTGAATTTTACAGGTTGCTGAATAAAGATGAACGAATATCTTATGTAGCAGGTGTAATTTCGATATTCAGAAAAGAAAAAAGTAGCTCCACTACCATAAACAGTAAAGGCATGAACTAGAGTTTGATGTGCCATACAGGGTCTTTGCAGAAGTCTGTAATCTCTTGTCAGATGAGGAAAATAAAAGCTCTTTTTAAACAATTCAGTCAATCTCTTCTTCAATTTTTTTTTTTTATTTGCAAAAACGGCAGCTGGGAAGTCTCTAACGTGCTCTGATATAACAAGGAAAAACTCAATGGATTTTCTTCTTTAACATGTCATTTTGAGATTATTTAAACACTCTCATTAATTATAAACTAACACAAAATATGCTAGAAGTCAGTCTTCCCCCCTAATTCAGAAGTAGCATTTATTTCAGCCTCTATCTTTTCCTGACTATAGTCAACAAGCCTTCAGGGAGCTTGTGAATCTACTTCTCTTAGTCAAAACTGGCTGTCAAGCTCAAAAGTTATGAAGGCATAGACTGACAATCTGACTGCAAGCACCATTTTTCTTTGAAAATACAGAAGACCAACCAATATTTATATTTGGAGTTTTTCAAGTGGCAAAAATATTTAAACTCCAAAAGCTCAATAATGTATTTTGTCAATTTTTGAGAAAATTCTGAGTTTTTGTAACCCAGATTTAGACCACCTGACCAGGTTCAGTTTCAAAAAATATTTTTCAAGTCTGGGTTTACTTTCTATGATGTCTCAAGGCAGGAATCTGAAATTACAAGTACCAGAAGTGACAGCACACTTTTGAAAACATAAGCTTCTGTTTCCATAGCACAGAAAGTTATTTTTCTTACTGACTTTTGGACACAAAAAAGCTTTATTTATTCACCCCACATACTCAGAACCACCTGACCAGTTTCTTTGCTCTTGTCCAGATTGAGTTGGTTTTTCACAATGTCTTTATTTTGGTCACTTAAGTTTGCTCCTACATATATTTTGTGTTCTTATTAACATTCTAAAGAAGCTGAAGAATTCAAAGTAATAAGTAAGCTTTCCAATATGAATATCTATAGTATTTACCATTATAACATTAGCTTCAGAAGACCTTCATGCTACCTAAAGAGTTGATAATTCTTTGTTTTGCAAAGACTCCTTGCCTTGACATTGAAAACTTTCTTGTGTTCTTCTGCTGAAGGTGAAATAGGCCTGCCCACAATGAACACAGCTCTGCAAGAACTTAAGGTAATGATACAGTAAAACACTTTTTTTGTTCACAGACTGTCCATTCCATGGGGTAACACAACCCCACAGCTTTTACTACCAAGCACACACCAGGAGCACGTGAAAAATAAGACAATTCCTGATTTTAATACAAAAGAACGACTCTAACCAGATATTCTTTTACCCCAGTAGGTTATTCCTTTATGCCATCAGGAAACAAAGCAAACTTTTTATCCCCATCCTACAGATGGGAACGAGCACTGAGGGAGCAAGATCAAATGACCCATCAAATCTATAGGGGATACCAACATCACAAGCAGAGCTTGGAACCTCCAAATCAGTTCTTAGACTACTGGCCAGTGGCCCCAAATGGTGATCATGCAAATAGTCAAATTGACCACGCAGTCAAAATAACGATGCATTTAAATGAGTCAATTTGTGATTATAATGACAAGTTTAATTTGTATTCTGTGTGCATAATAAAATTTAGAACTGCCCAAAATATGTGTCTCACAGTAGATTGCAATGTTTAATTTCCTGACACTCTGTAGGTGTTAGGGAAGGGTTACTGTGATCCCTATGTCTTTTAATATGCCCTGAAGATAAGTGAATCAAGATGAAAAAAATCCAAGAACCATAGGCAATCTCATAATCCATACTCTTTGTGCTGTTCATTTCCTAAGGACTGTTCTATATGGGGGAAATTATCCATGTTCTATGTATACTATGGCAGAAGACATTTATTTTCCATCTGCTACATTTCCCCCTCTCCAAATTGTACTCCCTCTGTTGGTATAAGGAAAATGGTCATTTGTCCTTGAAGAGAAAAGTATAGTAAACATCTGAATTTATATATTTCATCCCATATTTTTTAGCAAAATACACAAAAAAATCAAAATAATTATTGTAGACTCTTAAAAATGAATTAGGCCTTGACAGTTAGCTACCTCATTCTGTTCTAAAATTCAAGAAACTCTGAGAAAATCTCTTTTTTTATACAATCTTTTGGATGTGTCATTTGCCATTTATATTTGATGGCCTTAAGGAAAAAAAAAGTTACAAAAAGGTATTAATGCAAGTAGATAATAAAGCTGCATTCTATAAATCTATAGCAGCTTACAGTAATCATTAAAGCATGCAAAACTCTTTCATCTATTCAAAAATATGCAGTGCACAGAATGCCTGCTAAGGTGCATGACAAGTCAGAGTTAAATATATATTAATAAATGAATTAGCTTCATAAATAATAGCCATAATGACATTTTAGGAGACAATAAGTCTGAGGATTGTCAGAAAATGGTTGATGTATGAGCTTCACGTCTCAGTGATTCTTCAAAATGAATAGGCTTTGCGAGATAGTTCAGACCCACGACCAGCCTATTTCCTTGAATAATTTACTTGTTGTCAATTTGTACAGCCACATTACACATGCAAATTGTGCTGCCTGTGCAAACACCACTTGGAGATGATAAAAACAAATTTACGAAGGCTATAGAGGAAGGATTTATTTCACTTTCTCGCCCAGGTCAAGCAATACATGTATCTGACGATTGTGTGTACCCAATTTTGTTGTAATTATATCAGCAAATTATTCTTTATAATCTTATTATTTTTAGCAGTCTCCTTGTGCTTGGGATAATTAGCTTTCTTCACTCAGTGTAAAAACAATTCAACTTGCCAGCTAGGCAGGGCACAGCTCCATTATCTGTTTTGGGTTTAAATTTATTCCCTATATTCTTGGACACTTTGTGTAAATTAAAAATTTCATAGTCCCTAATACTGTACACGCTGTTCATTCAGTGATGAATTAAGGTCCCTAAACCTCTACGTTTGCTATTAGATATCTCACCCACTTTATATGTTAATCTGTGCTAATGAATTCCACAACCCCTAGCCACAGCGAGATGACTAAAATTATTACCACTTACAGAGATATGCCTTTTTCATTTAAAGTTCAATTCAAATTGCTCCCATAAACAGTCTGCCACACAAAGATACCTCCTTTAAAGAAGAGTTACTTACCTGTAAGTAGAGTTCTCGGAAGGTAGCACTATCTTTGGATACACATTCCTCAGCCACGTGACCTCTGGTTTGTGGCAGGGGGAGTGGATCCATCCCTTGATAGTTAAGACTTTTTCCTCAAGGCACTTCATTACCTCTGCAGCTCCTGTGCCCCCAGGGTTATTTGTACCACAGCCTGGCAACACAAGCACCCCTCACTTTTGGAAGGCCCTGGACCAGGGGGAAGAGCAGAGAGGCTCCTTGGAGGGGTGGTGTTGGTGGAACAACTACACAGCAGCTTTGTGCTGAGTGAATCTCAAGTAACTGCCTCCTTCCCTCTCCGGATTGCTACCTGGGAGCCTGGCATTCATGGGAGAACAGCAAAGCCAGGGAAACAAAACCACAGAAGGCCACACAAAACACCTGGCACGGTCTTATGTGTGTGCAGCAGGACAGGAGTCACCCAGGTGTCACCTGCCCAGGGTGCAGCTCCTCGCCCTTCGCAGAGAGCCCGGCTACACAACCCAAATTCTACTTCTCCCCAAGGAAAACCACATAAATGTTACAGTTTCCCTGCAATACCCTCTGCTGAGCGATTGTGTTTCAAACCAGTAGAGGGCATTGGCAGACACAGAGACTAAACAGGTTCGCTACAGGAGCTTGGAAAGTCAGCTGTTATTTATAGAGATCAAACAATAGCACACTTCAAATACAGCACAAAGTATCAAAACTAACCCTTCAAAGTTAATCAACGCAAAACATAACTAAAACGATCGAGATTCTTACAAGACTTTCCAATTATATGGACCTTTATTGCAGTACAAATACTAAACTAATTAATTTTATCTAATATCCTTGAAAAGTAGTTAAAATAGTGCTGTTTGTTTCACAAACTAAAGCAAGGAGAGGTTAAGTGCCTTGCCCTAGCTCCAGATCCGAGTGCCTCGTGATGGGACTCCCAGCTTAAGAGTCACTATTGTGCTTCTAAATAACACCAATTAATACACAAAGAAAAACTCTCTCAGAGATTAAGAAAACTGCTTTCTGACTCTTTTTGTGTAAAAACAGTCGGATGACATTCCATTTATTGATATGGCAGAAGGGTGTTTCTCCTCTATTGCCAGAGAAAAGTATCCAAGATCCCAATCCAGTATATGGACTTTGTGTTCATCACCACAAAATTGGGACTGATGTGTTTGGATCTCTGAAATTTGTCCCACACTGGGTGAGGACCCTGACACTGGGCTGATGTGAACGTTGTGGGGAATTATGGCTGCAGGTCCCATAAAACATATCCTGCACTCAAAGTAACAAATGTAATTGCAGCAACACAGGGGTCAGGTCAGAAAACACAACAGTGCCCACATCCCAAGGGGATGAATAAACTGGGATCCAGTTAAAAGAAGGTAAGGGTGTGTGGGTACATCTGCAACAGCTCAGTTATCCTTTTGCCTTCTGCAAAAAACTTATTCCAAGAAGCCAGAGAACCTACAGAGTTTATGCTTGGAATAGATATAGGTGATGAAAACTCTCTTCTACCTGTGAGTCACTAAAATTGAAAATATCTTCTTCATTCCTCACAGGAAGCCTGTGGCAAGAATAATAACTGAGTACAGATCTTCCAAGCTTCAATGGGGAATTTTGGACAAAAGCTCCTACTTCCTCCCTGAATGCTGTGTCCTAGGGCTTTAGAGATGCCTTTTTCTGAAGAGTAGACAAAGCAACTTGCTCATGGGCTGCTGGTGCTTAAAACCACAGACATTTCTTTCTGTTTCTATGGTCAGAATTTTCATCAAAATGCAAACCTCAGAGGAGCAAGGACATTGTAAATGGGGCTATGACAATATCCTCAGTAAAAGTCGGGGCTTGATACTGAATTATTCAGTTGTGTACTTCTCTCAAACAAGAAAATTGAGGAACATCTGAGCAGATCTGCTTAGATCTTATATGGCAGAGCATGTGGAAAAAATGCCCTCTGTAAACCTTTTAATTGAGTTTAAATGTTCATTTGAGTATAATTATTTTAAAGGATTGATAAAAAGTATATTTTAAGTTCGCAACAAATTAAAAGTTTAGGAAGGAAAACCCAGAGGCTATTTTATTGTCTTTACATCTCTCTTTAAAATCATATTAATTTTCCTCTCCAACACCATTTTATTGTATTAAAATATAACCATGCTAGAAAAATTTCTCATTATGTTAGCAAAAATGAAGACAAGGTAGATAGTATACCAACACAATGACTGTAATCTGCTAATACAATAAGGCCTTCCTATTACGTTTAAACAAGAATCCAGTTCTTGATCATTTTGACATGGTTTGAAAACACCGTCTCGAAAGGATAAAATGTAGCATTTTTCTGTGCTTAAGAAAAAGTTTCTTATGTCCTCATTTACTGCTAAAAAGAAACAAGTAATAATGCAAAATGTATGTTGTAGGAGATTTGATTTCTGCTCTAGGAAACCGCATATTTTGCAGAAAAAAGATGTGCAGGGTTATTTGTGATTAGCTAAGCATGGTTTCAGTCATATATCCAAGGAAATATTCAGGCCTCCACGGTGTCCTGTGGTTGATCTGAGGGGAAGAACTGCACTGTGAGAAGTTGCTGTTGGTACCTGGCCTGTGCACAGCCATCAGCTGTCCTGGGACCTGACAAGTTTGACCACTTCTCTTACAGCTACCCATGAAGAGAGTTTCCAAAAGAACCCAAACAATGCTGGGTTTTGTAGGTGGTAATCCATACTTTTCACCCAGAAAGGAGCAGCACATTCTGTTTCAGTGTTGCTCCATGAAAACAAGCAAAGGTATGGAAAAATGCCCAGTTCAGGCTTGATACAGTGCACACTGCCAAGTGTGGGGGTGGGATGAAGAGTCCATCCTAAACAGTGCCAGGGGTAATAACAGCACCAGAAGCTCAGACTGACTGCCCAAAGGAATACAGGATATCTTCTTCCCAAGCAAACTTGCTTAAGACCACCTCACACGAGTACCACAGCACTTAACATGCTAATACTTGGCTACTGTGAAGTGACAATAGAAAGACCAACACCAAAAGCTGCTGTTTCCAATTCCTGAGCAGACCATGTGCTTTGCTCTACAGAGATTCCTGTAGCAGGGACCTCATCTTCCTGTTGCCACAAGAAAATACACATGACAAAGTACACTATAACAACAGGGACTCAGTAGTATCTGTGTAAAGGAAGGTAACAGAGATACAGAGAAAATTGCCTAGAACTTGGAAAATCATAGAGATCCTGGAAGATTCAAATTAAACTTGACGTTACATCTAATTGCAATAGTCCTTCCTTCTAAAGTTCAAGTAGCTTTTAATAACAGCGTCAAAAATATCCAACCAGTAATTACTGTGTTGTGCTCGTTTGGTGTTCCACAGGAATCTCAGAGGCATGACTCGTTTCATTCCTGAGAGTCATTGCTTGGCAGGTCTCCAGGACAGGAATTCAAGTGAGAAAGGAAGTTAGATCAGTTGACCAAAAGGAAATAAATCAGATTATTTGAATATTTGCTCAATGGGGAACAGAAAATTGCCATGAGAAGAATTTGACACTGAATCAAGTGTTGGACACAATAGCAGCTCTCACGATTTTGATGTAGGAACATGAGTGTTGGTCACAAGGTTGTGCTGCCTTCTATTTCCTTCTTGAAATAAAAAGACTCTACACATTGTTTCAACAAAAAAACCCCTAACAAATAAACAAACAAAAAAACCCCAAAACAAACCACAAACCACAGCAAATAGCAAATTCTGTTAAGTAGCCAACAATCTCTTTTGTGGTTTCCTCAAGCACTGACTTTGTGAATACAAATGCTTCTGGATTGATGAAAGTCAGGCAGGAGCTCTTGCCACCATTTTTCTTTCATGGAAGGACCTGTGAGAACTCAGAATTTATCGTGGGAGGACTGGAGATCATCCTGAAAATTTGGCTTTTAAAACTACAAACACAACTAATTTGCAATTATAAAATGAAATTAATGTGAATATTTGAGTACTTCATTTGTGTGCACTACCAGTGCCATTGGCTTGTGGATACTAAATAAGGAGCACAATGTTTGGATACAAATTGTGTCACATGAAATTAAATTTGCCTTCTGAAAATTTATCCCTATCAAACACATAAATTTATGGGTCGTAGAGGTGTCACACATTTTTCAATTTTTTGAGTGTGTTGAAATTAAGCCCAATGGTCTAACAACCTGCTAGAACAAACAGCAGTGAACATCCAGTATCAATACAGTTATTAATTACCAGTTATCTGTATACCAAATATAACCAGTCATTAAATGTAAATAAAATAACTCTCTTAAAAATTGATTTCCCAGATGAGAGGAAAATCTAGTTAGCAAGCTGAGTGTGAAATTTACATGTAGTTCATGAAAAAGTGATTACTTACGGAATTAATTGATTTTAGAAATGAATCTAAGGATGTAAAATTATGGCATAAAACTGAAAACAATCTGAAGATCTGTTTTATGTCCATGAGAAAGGTACTTAGTTCTCCCTTCCAAGCACAGCCAATCCCAGAAGCTGTGATCCACCAAGAAATCCCTACTCAAAGCCATATTCCGTTATCCATCTTTACAGCACTTGCCCTCTTCCCATTCCACTCAAGTATGTCCACAACTGGGTTGTGTCCTGATTTGGGGTCAGCAATTCTTTCCCCAGAAGTCTCAGTATCGTACTGAGATACAGTTTTCAACCTGTCAAATTGTCACTCAAAAACGCATCTTCTCACAAATTGTCTGAAAAATGGGAACCCTCCCCCTTTCAGACACATTTCAGCTCTAGTGGGGTCAGCCTCACCCCTGCACCATTCCCTTCCAGTTTCTCTGTGCCTCCCTTCCTATTACACCTCTTGTGCAAGGTGCTTTTGCTGAATCATATCCAGGCTGCTCCCAGGGATGTATTTGTGCCATGTGTCTCACCTGGGAAAGGGGAAAGGACAAGGAGTAACAGAATCTTCCACACATCCTTTGCCGAATGCTCTGCATGGACTGACAGTTAACTTTGAAGCACCCACACTGCTGTGAGACTCAGAATTCCCAACGAGGTTCTAAGAGCTTTTCCACAGTCTTGGAGCAGCTTAAGGAAAACGTGAGCTCTGATGCTGGAAGAGAATCCACAAGGAACAACCTTGTAAGATTTGTGAGTTCGCCTTTCTGAGGTTTTCTTTTTACCACATTAATCCAAGGCACCGGTGGGAAACTTGAAAGGACGTTTCAATTCTTGAAAAATGTCTCTTTTTAGATCTTCTGCTCTCTTCAGAGAACTACAGAATCACAGAATCAACTGGGTTGGAAAAGGCCTCTGAGACCATTGAGTCCAACAGCATCTTGTCAGCCAGCCCATGGCACTGAGTGCCACATCCAGTCTTTCCTTAAACACCTTCAGAGACAGTGACTCCACCACCTCCCTGTGCAGTCCATTGCAATGTCTGATCACCCTCTCTGTGTAGAACTTCTTCCTAATGTCCAACCTAAACCTCCCCCTGTGTCCTGAAGAGTATGACCGTAGTCATTCTGTCCCAGCATAAACGCTTTGGTATGGCACGATTACAAGGTTTACTCTTGGAACAGATGCCGTATTTTTTTATGGCAGCTGGGACTGCTGTACAACGTGTTGCCTGTCTTTCTTCTGGAAAAAGCATGAGTCTCATGAGGAGCAGCTGAGGGAGCTGGGGGGGCTCAGCCTGGAGAAAAGGAGGCTCCGGGGGACCTCATCACTCTCTACAACTCCCTGACAGGAGGGGGAAGCCAGGTGGGATCGGGCTCTGCTCCCAGGGAAGAAGGGATAGGATGAGAGGAAACGGCCTCAAGCTGTGCCAGGGAAGTTTAGGGGAGGTTGGACATGAGGAGGAATTTCTCCACAGAAAGGGTGATCAGACATTGGAATGGGGTACCCAGGGAGGTGGTGGAGTCACCGTCCCTGGAGGTGTTTAAGGGAAGCCTGGACGTGGCACTCAGTGCCAGGGGCTGGGTGACGTGGTGGTGTTCGGTCACAGGCTGGACTCGGTGACCTCGGAGGTCTCGTCCAACCTGACTGATTCTGTGATTCTGACAACAACCCCACTGGCACTTATTGGGCCATCTGCCCCTCCGGGAACTCTTACGGGAGCCTGGAGGTCGCTCTGTTCCCCTCACAGGGGACACCCCACACCTTCCCCAGGGAACACCCCACACTATCCCAGGGAACACCCCACACTATCTA